CCCCACCTGTGGCCACTGTTGAGGGCAGTGCTCCACAGGAGGATGCTTTGGCACACAGTGGGAGCCAAGTCCCTTCCTCCCAGGCAAATGCACGTCCAGGCAATGCTAAAGCAGAAATTGTTGAACCAGTACAAAAAACAGTAGCAGAAGCTCCCAAACTACCCAAAATGGAAGAGATTCCTCAGCGGATTACAAGGAACCGGGCTCAGATGCTTGCTAACCAAAACAAGCAGAACACTGCTGCTTCTGAGAAGGAATTTCCTCCTGTTTCTGCACCTGCCACACGTGCCAAGGGCCGTGTTACAGAGGAGGATGATTCCCAGGCTCAGCACCCGCGCAAGCGCCGCTTCCAGCGATCCAACCACCAGCAGCTGCAGCAGCAGATCAACACATCCACCCAGCAGACGAGGGAGATGATACAGCAAACACTGGCAGCTATTGTAGATGCTATAAAACTGGATGACATTGAACCTTATCACAGTGACAGGTCCAACCCCTACTTTGAGTACCTCCAGATCAGGAAAAAGATTGAAGAGAAACGGAAAATCCTCTGTTATATTACTCCCCAAGCTCCACAGTGCTACGCTGAGTATGTCACCTATACAGGCTCCTACCTGTTGGATGGCAAGCCTCTAAGCAAGCTCCATATTCCAGTGGTGAGTCACCTTCTCTCTTTAAACCACAGCAGTAGGGACTGTCCCCTCCCTTGCTGCTGCAAGCACAGCCAGACTGTTCCCTATGCACCGTCATCACCCTTGCAATGCTGACAGTGCCCCAGCCATGGCTTCAGCCTACTTTTAGAACATGCCCATGAAGACAAATCTAAGCCTCCGTAAGTGGATGGCTGCATGATAAATGCATCCTCTGAGATGCTGTACTTTTGCAGAGGAGACCTTGACCTGTGCTTAGGAACCTGAGGTTTGTTCAGGTTTTAGGGCAGGTTTATATGAAGCCATTGGATTTGAGGCTGTAAGGCAAAACTGCTTTTCTGAGCAGCATAATAATTAGATGATGAACCTAGAGGACAGTAGGAAAAAGATGGCTCTTAACTCCTGCCTTTGTTTTTCCAAGCTCTGATATTTGACTTGCCAGAAGCACTCACTCCTTGGCAATGGGATCTGCATTTCACTGCTGTGCTGCATGAATGGACTTGCTAATAGAAGTGCATCAATAAACTCAGTGCTGCAGGCAGTTAATCTGGGATCCAGCCTGGAGGAGGAGGGTCAATATGACCAGCTGTGTCAGGCTTTGTTCCATGCTGCAGGCAGGTGGAATGTCCTGGTCTGTGGATATTTCTGTGCAGCATAGTCCATGCAGGACCTGTTAGAGAGCAGTGTAGGGGAGAAGGACCTGGGGGTCCTGGTGGACGACAGGGTGACCATGAGCCGACACTGTGCCCTTGTGGCCAAGAAGGCCAATGGCATCCTGGGGTGTATTAGAAGGGTGGTTAGTAGGTCGAGAGAGGTTCTCCTTCCCCTCTACTCAGCCCTGGTGAGACCTCATCTGGAATATTGTGTCCAGTTCTGGGCCCCTCAGTTTAAGAAGGACAGGGACCTGCTGGAGAGAGTCCAGCGCAGGGCAACTAAGATGATTAAGGGAGTGGAGCATCTCCCTTATGAGGAAAGACTGAGGGAGCTGGGTCTCTATAGTTTGGAGAAGAGGAGATTGAGGGGTGACCTTATTAGTGTATATAAATATATAAAGGGGGAGTGTCACGAGGATGGAGCCAGGCTCTTCTCAGTGGCAAACAATGAAAGGACAAGGGGAAATGGGCACAAACTGGAACACAAGAGGTTCCACTTAAACCTGAGAAGAAACTTCTTCTCAGTGAGGGTGATGGAACACTGGAACAGGCTGCCCAGGGAGGTTGTGGAATCTCCTTCTTTGGAGACATTCAAAACCCACCTGGACACGTTCCTGTGTAACCTTATCTAGGTGTTCCTGCTCCGGCAGGGGGATTGGACTAGATGATCTTTTGAGGTCCCTTCCAATCTCTAACATACTGTGATACTGTGAGTTACTATTTCCATGAGTTAATACATGCTTAGTCTGCCCCGGCACCACAGTGGTTGCAGCCTGTGCTCACATCTTGTTCCTTCCTAGAACTAACCCAGAGCCCCCTGCTCCTCTGTTCTGCAATTGGGCTGTGCTTGTGGAGCACCTTGCTCCCCAGGAGAGTGCAGGACAGATCAGGACACAGGTACCCTTCCCACCAGTGCGCAGACTGGGCTGCTCCTGGCAGTATTTCTCTAATAGTGTCATCCCCTTTGTCAGACACACTCAGGCCCCTTTACAAATTGCCCTTGCAGCATGTGGGGTAGTGTAAGCTCTGGTTCTGCAGGCTGAGCTCATTTCTCAACACTGGACACCTCTTGCCTGGTCTCACTGCTCACTGTAGTCTGGGCATGGGCAGGATGTTGTCCTTTGCCAACTGCCTGCTGAGGAAAAAGGCAGAGTTGCTTCTCCGGCGAGCTCAGTACATTACCCTGCGAGGTGGCACCAGCTCCCTTGGCCAATGTGCTGCAAGCAGGGTGCTGTGTGGCAGGGGGTACAGGCAGCCTCCCCAGGAAGGACACCCAGCAGCAGTGCTGGCTCTAACCACCTGTTGCCGTGTGCCTGCAGATCGCGCCACCACCGTCGCTTGCTGAGCCTCTGAAGGAGCTCTTCAAACAGCAAGAAGCTGTGCGGGGAAAGCTGCGGCTCCAGCACAGCATAGAGCGGGTAAGGGAGCACACCTAGGAAACTCCTGCTGGGGAAGAGGTCCTGGATTTCCTCTGCTGGGGAGACTGAGGCTGCCATGCTCACTGGTTCATTTGCTCTTCCTCAGGAGAAGCTCATCGTCTCCTGTGAGCAGGAGATTCTGAGAGTCCATTGTCGGGCAGCAAGGACTATTGCCAACCAGGCTGTGCCTTTCAGTGCCTGCACCATGCTGCTGGACTCCGAGGTCTATAACATGCCTCTAGAAAATCAGGTCAGTGCCTGTCTCAATGGTGGAGGAGTGTCTCAGAGGTGCTATGTGAGACCCTGAGGGGGATGTGCTTTTCTGGATAGAGGGAGGGATGTAGGCAGGAGTTCCTAATGCTCTCCCTGCTCAGGTCCCTGTCACCCACCATGGCACACAGATGCAGGACATGCTGCAGGAGCCCTGCATCTCCTATCTGACCCTGCAGGTTGCCTAATCTGACTTAGTTTCTGGTGTCGCATGTTCTGGGATACCCCACATGCATTCCAGGGAAGGAAACATCCAGGAACATGGGGATACAGAGAACACATTGTCTTGTTAGAAGCAGAAATGACTCATGTTTATCAGAGAGTCTCAGGACTGTCTGCCCTTCTTGATCAGGATCATCCACACCCTTGAAAGGTTTCTTTTACTACACTCTGGGATATCTTGTAGGACACTCCAGGATATCTTTTCCTGTTGAAGGAAGGGGAGAGAACCATTAAATTGATGTGTCTGAATAGTGGCTTTGAAAGAGCCAGGCTCCATCTCACAGCCTATAAGAAATGGTCATTTCTTCTTTCAATTTCCCATCATTCTGTGCCAGAGAAGGGGGGAATCATGTCTGGTTTCTGCAGCCGGTGGCCATGTGGCTGCAGTTGGTCCTGTGCCATCTTGCCAGCACCCTCTTCAGCCCTTCAGCTGCTGCCAGCCTGGCTGATCAGGGAAGCACACTGCTGCATTGCAGGAGGGATCCTGTGCAGGAACAGGATCCTGTAATTCATTAGTGACCTGGTGTATTTATCCCAGAGCCTTGATTTATCCCCCAGCATTTCCCAGCCAACTGTCTGTGCTTCTATAGCAAAGACATTACAATCTTGGGCACGAGTTGAAGCAGCCAAGAGAGATGTGAGTGCTCTGAGGGACTGGCACAGAGAGATTCTCTGCAAAACAAGCAGAGATGGGGAATGCATGTGTGCATGAATGTGTACATTGCTGCCCAAGGCTTAAGTCTTGGCAGAGTGCTGCACAAGCAGCTGGGATCAGCATGCTCTATTCTCCTCCCTGCAGGCACCTTTCTTGTTTCTGATGAGTGTGTGTTCTAAGAGGGGTTGGAATATGGCCTGTTAGACCTGTAACTGCTTAAAGTAACAAAACCAAAAATCTCCTGTGCAATTCCCTTGTGCTGTATTTTGCTTAGGGAGATGAAAACAAATCAGTCAGAGACCGTTTCAATGCACGACAGTTCATTTCCTGGTTGCAAGATGTGGATGACAAGTACGATCGAATGAAGGTGAGAGGTGCAGGAGTCCCAGTGCTCCCGGCTGCCGCTGTAGTGCATAGCCAACATCAGTTCCTGCTGCTCTGCCTCCTGCCAGGAGGGATTCCCCAGGAGGGGTCATGGCTGTTGCTGTACCCTGGAAGCTGCCTTTGTGGTTTCCAAACGCCTGCTGGGATGTGTGTGGCATCCTTTGCTGCTCTGCCCACCATAATGGCTTCATGTCCCTTGCCTTTGCCAGGTGGAATGTGCAGCAGGAGCCTTTCCTGCCCTCTCCTGCCCACCCCTCATATTTGCTTGTTCTTTTTTCCCCTGATCCAGACATGCCTGCTCATGCGCCAGCAACATGAAGCTGCTGCCTTGAACGCGGTGCAAAGGATGGAATGGCAGCTGAAGGTGCAGGAGCTGGACCCCACGGGGCACAAATCCCTCTGTGTGAACGAGGTGCCCTCATTCTATGTGCCAATGGTCGACGTGAACGACGACTTTGTGCTCTTGCCGGCATGACTGTTCAAAGCCAGGAGACATCGCTGAGCACTGGCATGGACAGGAGCAATCTGAGGTCAGGCGGTCAAGCTCACATTCACCCTTACCGCTTGCTGATGAATCCCTGGTCAGAGGAGGAGGAAGCAGCTATCAGAAAAAAACAATAAGAAAAATAATTGCACTTTCTTCACAACATGTCCCTCACTTCTGAACTGATGGTAGCTCTGCCAGGCAGTGGGCCAGGGTGCATCTCCTTTCCAACCAGCTGCTGTGGCAGGGAGGCAGCCAGGCTGCATGGGCAGCGGGTACGCACAGGCTGAGAGACTGACAGAGGCATGGAGGGAGGAGGCCAAGGACACCATTTGCATGTTGCAGAAGCTGCTGAGCAGTGCCAGCAACCACATGATTCATGAACTTGTGAACACCATGATTTCAAGCTCTCTGTTTTCCACCGGTGGTGGATCTCTTCTCGGAGAAGCTGAAGCAGGAAACCATGGGGGGAGGGTGGGGGGTGTTTGAGTTTCTCATTCCATCCTGGGTATGTCTAAAAAAAAAAAGTAGAAACAAAAAGACAGTGTCTGAGGTGGGCAGCTGTGGCTCTGAACGTGTGGACAGATCTGGTGCCCACAGCAGCTGCTCACCAGCATTTGGGAAGAGCAGGGGAGCTGCTGAAGAGGCATGGCCGAGCAGGCAAATGGTGACACAAAGAAAGGACTTTGACAACTCTGTTTTTAATGGAGTAAAATCCATGTGGTTTGTTGTTTTCCTTTAATCTTGGGCATTTCGTTTCTCTTTCTGAGAACATAACTTGAAAACACTACAGAGCCAATACGCATATAAAGAAAAATTGTATCCCATAAATGCTGTACAGTTTTTATATACATTAATAGTGTACTTTTGCTGCCTTCTAGATAATTTATTTTGCAACACATTACTGCACAGTTGTAAATAACTTATGTAATGTAACATCACTTTCAGTTATGTGTAAATAAATAAATAAATTAATTAAAATTATCTTTCTATGTATAGTTCACCCTAGGCAGCACTTTCCCTCTCAAGGAGAAAATACGGTCCAGGATGGTGTGCAGTGTCCCTTGGAAGTCCATCTGATATGCTCAGGTATGCAGGGGTGGTCCGACCCATGGGCCATGCTACAGGGATCTCTGAATGCTCACCTGATTTTTAGCACCACATCGGTTTTCTCCTTCCCCAGGAAGGGAGGTGGCTTCCCAGCAGCCAGGGCAAACTGGAGCCCAGGAGCCTGCAGCAGGGCTTGCAGCACCAGGTGCTTCCTTCTGTGGTGCTGCTGCCCTTGTGCCCTGGGACAGGCACCTTGCCAGGCTCCCAGGGTGCTGCTCCAGACACCGCTACACTCCCACCACCTCCTGCTCTTCTTTTTAATAATGACCCTCAGAAATAGGTTGCAGGGATCACTGATGCCCTGTGGCTCAATTCACCCTTGTGGGGCTGGTGTTGGGCAGCACAGCTGGGAGCACTATGTGCCATGCAGTGCCATCCCCACCAGCATAGAGCATCCCTCTGGCATAGAGTTATAGAATAGATTTGGGTTGGAAAGGACCTTAAATATCATCTAGTTCCAACCTCCTGCCATGGGCAGGGACACCTTCCACTAGACCAGGTTGCTCCAAGCCCCATCCAACCTGGTCTTGAACGCTACCAGGGGTGGCGCAGCCACAGCTTCTCTGGGCAACCTGTGCCAGGGCCTCACCACCCTCACAGGGAAGAATTTCTTCCTTATATACAACCTAAATCTCCCCTGTTTAAGTTTTAAACCCATTACCCCTTATCCTAGGGACCTGTGCCACCATATAGCCTTATCACCCCTTTGGCTGTACAACTTCCCATGGAGCAAGGCCAAAAGAAATGCAGATGCAGTTTTGCAGATTTGGAGCACCAGGACAACATTGTTGTCCTTCAGAGATTGTGACTGTAAATAAATTTCAAATAGAAGAGAGAAAACCAAAAAGCTTGTTTGCAACTCGGCTGCTTTGTTGACGCTGGGTGCAAGGGGGGCCCTGACCAGTTCCTTTCCCAGGGGGTTCAGACCCCAGCTGGATATTGCTGAATGAGAAAAGTGGCCAGTACTTTATCTCTATATTGACTCGTCGATGGTGGCAAATGCCCTGTGGGGGTGGTTGCAGCAATGGAAGCAGAGCAACTGGCAACACAGAGGTAAACCCATCTGGGCTGCTGCACTCTGGCAACACCGCACCCCAGAGAGAGCTGAGTCAGAAAATGGGACTCATTTCTGGAACAACCTTATAGACACCTTTGAGGTTTAGGGGGACCTGGGTGCATCTGTGGGTGCTCAAAGCCAGGCCCTGGCATCCCCGGCTGCACCCCAGGACCCCCAGCACCAAACAAGTGGGTGCCTGGGCCTGGAGCACCATGGAGTTGTGGGGGAGTTAACCGGACTTGAGGGGGGGGCAAATCGGGCTTGGGGAGGTGAACCAGGTTGTCTGGGAGGAGATAAATCGAGCTGGGAGGTGGCAAACCGGGTTACGGGGAAGAACTGGACCAGAATGGGGGGTTGGGTGGCGAACTGGGCTTGGAGGGGGGCGAACCGGGCTGGGGGCTGGACTGGTCTTGGGGGTTGAATCGGTGTGGGGTGAACCCGGAGCTTACAGGGCTGACTGGCGAAAGGCAGAGCCCCGGGGACGGGGGTGTGTCGGTCCAACGTGGGCGGGGCTGGGGCCAGGCGGGGCGGTCCCCGCGGTATTTGGTTGGCCCCGATGCCGCCCCCACCTGCCCGTGGAGCCGGAGCCTGATCCCAATCTCAGTCTGTCGGTCGCGGAGAGCGATGCTGTCGGGGGGTGTCGGCCGCGGGGCCGGCGGGGGGCAAGGGGGTGGACGCCGTGCTTGGCGCTGGGGCGCGGCTGGGCTGGGCTGGGCTGGGCGCTGGGCACCGGGCACCGGGCACCGGGCACCGACCCTCAACACCACTGCCGCCCCGATGCTGCACTCTTGGCGCCGCTGCGCCGCCTGGCGGGGGCCTCCCTGCTCTGCGCCTCCGTCCCGGGCCTCTGCGGCGGCCGGAACCCCTGCCAGCTCTACTGGTACCGCGTCACCGGCCGGCCCAACGGCACTGGGCCCTGCGCATGCGGCTGGCACTACTCCCTGCCCGCCACCGGCCTCCTCCCGGGTAAATGTTTGCTCAGGTTTGAACTTGGCTTCTGGGCAGCATCCCTTTGAAGCCGGGAAGGGGAGATCAGTACCGGAGGGCTGTCAGGCCCTTGGGGAGCCCTGTAACACAAACACTCGTGTCTCAGTGGCCCAGCGCTGCTGCTGGAGTCACCACACTGTCTGTTGGCTACACAGCAGCTGGAGAGGGCCAGGGAGACCCTGAAAGTACTGGCCAAAGGCAATGGCTCCAGCTCTGACAACAGCTCCTGCCACAGGAAATCTTCCACCTGGGTGCATGGTGGGGGCTGCTGAGAGAAACAAAGGCACCATGCCACCTTCCTAAAGCTGTGGTGGTGGGATGGTGACACTTCTAACCTGGGTCCCGCTGTCCATGCAAAGCTGGAAACCCTGTCTAAAGGGGTCTCCACAGGCCTGGTACCATGCCCCCTGCGAGATCTTTGGCACCAGGGTCATCTGGAAGAAAAGTGTCATCCTCGGCTTCACAATGTGAGCAGGCAAGGGGGGCGCTGGGGGAGGGGGTGGTCCTGCCACAGCCCCCTGATCCCACTGTCCCACAGGTTTATTAGCTCTGGCATCTGCCACTGCTTCACCTGCAGCCTGGCCCCCCACCTACTCCACTTCTTTTCCTGCTACTTAGTGCTGGTGGACACCAAGGCGACTGCCTGCCTCTTCTTGACAGCTGAGCGCTTTGGGCACAATGCTATCCTCCTGCTCTGCACCCTCCTCACAGGCATCTCCTCCCTCCTGCTGCTGGCCCTCACCCAGTGTGAGGACAGACTGGGTATCCCTGCTCTCCTGGCTGGGATTAGGAACACGATGCTTGGGGTGGTTTTGTTCAGGATTCAACCCCTGATGGTGCTTTTCCCCCTCACCCAGACCTTGGGGGTAAGGCTAGGAACATGGCATGCCTTTGTTACAGGCCATTAGTGATGCAGACTGCATAATGAGAGAGTACAATCAATTCACAGCTGCAGGCTCTTACAGGGAGAGAATGATCTTAAATAGAAATCAGTATAAATTAAACTTAACCCTTTCACTAGCTGAGCAAAACTCAGAGCTAGGCATAAGGGGGAGGGGGGATATTTGCTTCCGCAGAAGCACCTGAAGGCAGTATATCAGGAAGAAATTACTTAAAAATTGTGCCTTAAAAAGCAGTATTCAGGGTTATAGTTTAACTACAAGACTAACAAGAACATACCTGTTCCCTATACTAAGTTAAGACAATCAATACATAGTTTGAAGGAAACTCTAAACCCTTTCCTTAGTCCGTTACTATTCCTCACATCACTGGAATAGAGTTACCCATCTAATTTATGGTGATAATATAGATCAAGAAGTTCTGGGTCTGTGGAACAACTGTGGGGAGGACTGACCTTTCCCAAACTTGGTGGGTTTTCTTTTCTGTGGTTCTTTTGGGACTATCTGGAGTTAATAATTCTGGTGACTTTCAAAACTCAGTACTGCCTAAAAATATACACACTCACTTTTTTTTTTTTTTTCAGTGGAGCAACATTTGCTGTAAGTAAGTAGAAGGTTGGGTTTTTTGAAACTAAGTTTCAGTGTTCTGGTTCCACTGTGTGCCAGCCTTACTTTTAAAGGTATGACCCTCCAAAAATAAAAGTAATTTGATTGTGTTATCCACATCCCTTTCATAAAATTTAACATTACAAAAAGAGATGTGAAATGTGGCCTTGTAGATTACAGCCTGGGCTTGGGTTTTTTTTTGGTTGGGTATTTTTTTTATTCTCTCTCTGCTATGTCCCCGAGGAGCAGAAACCTGCCTTTTTCCAGCAGGAGGAAAATTGTTCTGTGTCTAAATTTCCTCCTGCTACCCTTTTGCAGAATGCTTCAGGACATGGAGCACAGAGGAACGATAATGCTTTTACAAAACCATTTAATTTAGCAGAGAATTTTTAATTATGAATTGACTCAGAGAAAACTCCTGGAACAAACTTGCCAACAAAGTTTCAAGTTGACAAGCAGGTATTCTTTATTGTGGAACTGTGAGACACGGGCTATAGCTCATCCTAATGTGTATCCCCGAATTGCTACTTAGGCCATCCTTATATAGTCCCTGGGCATACATACATATTCATGAGGCTACACATGAATTACATAATTTTCCAGAAAGTTTCCTGCATGCATACAAAAATGTGATGGTGGTCTTTGAGGGTCGTTTACTTCTCCCAACAATCTTCATGATGCAAAGGGTTAACCAATGTACAGGGGGGTTACTGTTAAGCCACTTGCCTAACAATGTTACTGCTCATTCATGCTTATCATACCGTGTATGCTAGAACAAGATATAAGGACATAGCTATTGTTAAGAGGTAGGGACCCTGATTTGGTTCATGTTCTTTGGACGTCCAGGCCGGCTGAAATTTGCTCTGCGGTTTGGACAATAACCAAGCCTCCTGGGAGCATGTATAACGACTAGGGGTGAAAAGTTGAGGCTCGAGGATGACTTATTTCATCTTGAGACCCTCGCCCACGACCACCAGGTGGCACTGCGCAAGCGTAAAGGACCTTTTAGCTCATTACAATGCGAAGCGAGGATAGGGCATGAATATGTATAGGCGTGTTGTACAACCTCATGCATATGTATAAATATAGAGGATAAATGTAAAGGGGAAACGACGCTGAGGTGCACATGCCTTTGGAGGAGCTATCCCCCATGTGCCTCAGCGCTGAATAAAGCATGACTACTTTACAACTTTAACGAGTTGTGGAGTCTACCCGCACATCAATTTGGTGAGCCAGCCGGGAGGCCTCTGTTTGGCTGCAGGATGGGCTGAGGGGCAGACATCCTAGGCACCCCAGGCCACTTGCCTGGAGGAGCTCCGCTTCTCATCCGCCTACTGCAGGAACAGACAACAACCTGTGCCGCCTGTGGGAAAAGGGTATGCTTGGAATTTAGTTTTGTAATTTAGGGGGCCTTGGAATTTACTTTTGTAATTTAGGGGTCTGTCAGTCGGACGCTCGGCCTGGGGCTGCTGGTAAGGCACGCAGAGACATCTGGCACACATCATAGTTCCCCTTGACAGGTAGGACTTGCAAACAAGTTGGGGACTCATCGACTGATAGAGCGGCTGCTAGCGATCCTCAGGGTGGATCAGGTGAGTCCAGGGACTCGTTGGCATATCTGGCAGCCATAAAACAGGCAAGTTCCAAGTCTCTGCTGCATCCCAGGTTTTTGGAGCCAGAACAGACCTGCTAATGACTGTGTAGGAAGCAGGAGAAGGGTAAGTGGAACCACTGTGTGAGTGTATGGGATCCCTGTGTGCAAGAATTATGTGTGTGGCTGAGACGTGGCATAACTAGGAAGCGAGTGTGGATTCCTGATCCATAGTTCCGTACCCCATGTATCAGTACAGGTTGGGAGTTGACCTGCTGGAAAGTAGTGAAGGCGAAAGGGACCTGGGGGTCCTGGTGTATAGGAGGATGACCATGAGCCAGCAATGTGCCTTTGTGGCCAAGAAGGCCAATGGCATCCTAGGGTGTATTAGAAAGTGTGTGGTTAGTAGGTCAAGAGAGGTTATTCTCCCCCTCTACTCTGCCTTGGTGAGGCCGCATCTGGAATATTGTGTCCAGTTCTGGGACCCTCTGTTCAAGAAGGACAGGGAATTGCTTGAAAGAGTCCAGTGCAGAGCCACAAAGATGATTAAGGGAGTGGAACATCTCCCTTATGAGGAGAGGCTGAGGGAGCTGGGTCTCTTCAGCTTGGAGGAGATTGAGGGGTGACCTCATCAATGTTTACAAATATGTAAAGGGTGAGTGTCAGGATGATGGAGCTAGTTTTTTTTCAGTGATGTCCAGTGATAGGACAAGGGGCAATGGGTGTAAACTGGAGCATAGAAGGTTCCATGTTAACATCAGGAAGAACTTCTTTACTGTGAGAGTGACAGAGCACTGGAACAGGTTGCCCAGGGGGGTTGTGGAGTCTCCTATGTTGGAGATATTCAAGGCCTGCCTGGACAAGTTTCTGTGTGATGTACTCTAGGTTACCCTGCTCTTGCAGGGGGGTTGGACTAGATGATCTTTTGAGGTCACTTCCAACCCTTGGGATTCTGTGATTCTCTGTGAGGAGAGCGGCCGGAGATGGACGAAGTGTATTTGTTCTGTTTCATATTCTCGTTTCTGATTTAAACGCTGGGGGAGGAGTAGACGAAAGTAAACCATGGGTAATGGGGGGGTTAAGAAGATTTCCCTCTCTGCACCCCAGTGGCTGTATGAGAAAAGTGTAACCTCTAATATTTGTGGTCTTATTCTTGAAACCTGGACTTTACACACAAAGAATTATAGCCTCACATATGATTGCATAATAACTTTTGAACAGTGGAACCTGCCGTGGATATTAGGACAGTGTAAATTCTGTTGGAACAGAAACTATTATCTAACAGCAGAGGAGTTGATCTGCAGAACCCAGAGATATTATTTTACTGAACCCCCTGAGAATATCAAATATCATAAAACTTGTGTGTAGGTACTCTCATATTTTTATAAGTACATTTGCAGAACACTGAGAGAGAGAGGCTATAGAAATTTGTAAAAGATTATTTGAAATAGGAGCCAGTCAAAGCAAGGGAATTCTGAAGAAAAGCCCATTGGGTTTCATTTTGGCACATTGGAAATAATTGGGAGGGTATCCCAGGGGCTTGGTAAACAAGAAAACATTGATAAAATACTGTAACCAAAGGTGGCCTTTTTATACTTTGGAAGATCAGGAAAAATGGCCTAAAAATGGAACTCTGAACTATAATATTGTTACAATTAATGTTGGTTTTGAGGTGGCAAGGAAAATTACATGAATTAATGTATGCAGATTTTTTTTTCACTTTAAGAAACCAGCCAGAGTGACAGACAATGTAAAATTAATATAGCTCCGCCAGATCCCTTAATTTTGGCTTTGGAAAAGGACAGAAAAAAACTGAAAGTTAAGATGGAGAGATGTTGTTCAGCCTGTGATATTGGGGAAAGATGTTTAAAGTTAAAAAGCAGTAATCAGGAAGATAGATTAGAAAATTATATATCACAAGTACCTTCGACAGGATCACCCTCTACCTCTGGCCTATCAGATATTGATAAGGAGGAAGAGATTGCTGTCACTGGCAACAAGCGGCAGATTCACATTCAGAGTTAAGAAAGGGTTAAAACAAAAGTGCTGTTGCACAGGCAGGCATCTGAACAGGTCTGAGAAAAAAAAAAGGGGGTGGGAATGATGCAGAGGGTTGACCAATGTACAGGGGGGTTGTACAAGGGGGTTGTACAAGGGGGTTAGAGGAATTCCCTGCTTAAGTAAAGGTATTGTCTGTACCTATCAAGCCTACTAAGCAGAACAAAGGCACTAGCTGTTGATAAGGAAAAGGGGACACCTGGTTCTATTGACAAGGAAAAGCAGATGCCTGATTCTACTGATAAGCAGCTATTGATAAGGAAAAGCAGACATCTGAATCTACTGTTAAGGGGGAAGAAGCAGATGGTTTATGGCTGGGACCAAACCCTAAGGCCATAGGTGAGAACTAAAGGGTGAAATGGTCAGGAAGAGGAAGACTCATTTACTTCATCTTGAAGACCCCTACCCACAGGAGGAAGACTCATTTACTTCATCTTGAAAACCCTGCCCATGACCAGAGGGAGGCACTGCGCAGGCGCAAAGGACCTTGTAGCTCATTGTAATGTGAAGCGGGGATAGGATATGAATATGAATGTAGAGGGAAACAACACTGAGGTACGCATGACTTTGAGGAATTATCCCCATGCGTCTCAGCGCTGAATAAAAAGCATACCTACTTTACAACTTTAACGAGTTGTGGAGTCAGTCCGCACATCCGGAAAACCAAGGGGGAAAGGACTGGAGCTCACGCAGCTTGTGTGTTTAAGCGTGGGATGAGTGCTGAGTCAGGCGGCCAGGTGAGAACAGGCTGGAA